TTTGACGATTGTGATTAAGGATTAAGGATAGTATCAAATGCCCTCAAAAATTTTTATTTTGTAAGAAAATATATATTTAAAAAAATTAAAGAATACTTTTGAAATGTTTTGACGATTGTTATCAAGAATAGTGTCAAATGCCCTTAAAAATAATATTTTGCAAAAAAAAATTAAAATATTTTTGTAATTTTTAAATAACCTCGTCCTCATCAACAGCCGACAAATTAAAGTTTTTAGCAAACTGCTTCTTATTATTTCCAATTATTTTAATATCCTCGAGCTAAGTGGGTGAACTACTTATTCAGCAACCACACGGACAGCTGACCTCACAGTGTTAAAACAAACTTTAAGACAAATTCATGATGGATGGGATGGGGGCTGCTTGGCTGCCCAGGTGCCCAGCTCCAGAGCACTACTATGACTATAAACGCAACGTCAATGAAAAAATGGATTCATTTCACAACTTTTCATGCTTTCTAAATTAATTAATTATGGGAAAAATTATAAGTAAAGTCAATATGTTTTTAAGAAACCCACAAAAAAATATTAAGCTCTGTATTACTATATGTGTATTTGTATCTCTGGTCTCTATCTCATTTTCTCACTATTACTAACTATTTACGAACTTCAATTTACTTTGGCAACAAATATCAATAAGGAGGTTGGCCTCAGTCTAGGATAGCCTATGATTTATTTTTACTTTTCCGCAATTTATGCTTAAGAACTATCTTTATTGAAATAGCGATTTTACTACAAATTAAAATATTTTACTACCTATTATAATTTTACAATTATTACCCTATTAATTTTTTTATGATACCTATTAATATTCAACTATTATTTCCTATTAAAATTTTATTATTATTACTATCTGTTAAAATTTTTTTAGTACTACCCATTAAAATTTTACTGTATCTATAAAAATTTCATACTTCATATTAAAATTCAACTATTACTAGCTATTGAAATCTTACTATTACAACCTATTAAAATGTAACTAGTACTGGCTATTAAAACCTACTATTACTACCTATTTAAATTTTATAAGATTCATGGGAACTCTAATAAATATTCATTTCTTATCGTAACCAATTTTTTCATTTCAATACCATTAAAAAAAACTCGATTGCTGAATTTTTTTTAAAATAAAATTTACGTGGTACTATTTAAGAGATAAAAAATACCTGGAGCGAAAAGGATGAAATTATATATCAAAATAATTTAAATACGTGAAAAAAAATTGTAAATTTTTACATGAGTAATTTTCCAGACTAGAACTATCATTAATTTTTATTACCTAGCAGCTATACTACATCCCCGAAAACCACTTGGAATTAAATAAAGAAGCTTTTTATTCGTCTGGCTACCATTCCAGCATTCTCTATCATCTCCATATCCCATAAGTAAAGAGGGGCGACAAAGTCATTTTTGTAATCTTACACTCAAGGCCAGGTGGAAGACTTTTAGCAGACACACAAGGGAAGGCATTGTGTCAACAACCAACCATAAGGGAGAAAACTCCGAAGCGCCCAAATTATAAAAGAATGATGAAAATAACAGGAAGTCAGGGCGATACCCATCATCAACGTGGATTAAAGCAGAGAGTGATATTCATTTCTTTTTTCTTCTTCCACTTCTGTTACTGAACTCGGTATTTATTAAATGTAGGGGCGTAACTGCTTTGGGAAAAAATGAGAAGAAATCCGATATAATATTGTTAGTTGTTAGGGTGGTCTTTTTTTATTTAATTTGACAAATATTAGTGCTGGGGTCCCCTTTGTGTTTTACTTACAGAAGCGGCATATTCCAATATATTAAATTTTTTTACATGAAAATGGTAGTAAAAATTGATCTTTTTTCCTATTTAATTCTAAGGTTTATAAATTTGAAATTATATGATTTTTACCACCGTTATATATAAACTGAACAAATATAGATGCAAAAGTTTTGTATTTTATTTTATAAAAGGGTGACGAACACAGCCGAATAAATTCTGAGTTTACGACTATCAATGCTCAACTATCAAAGTTCTATAGCCTTGTAATTTCGAACCCAAACCAGAAGACATAGGAACTCCTGAATCAAGCATTGAGACACACTGGCCTTTGTGGAAATTTTTTGGATGAAACTAGCTCGCATTTGCGTTGCATGCGCAGGAAAACAAAGAAAACCTCCCTTGGTTAGCCTGATGGAAAGGGGATTCGAACCCAGGATCCGTCTACTACTGACGGTATTTTACGTTACCAATGTGGTCGGTATGAAGTCGAATTATCAACCCCGGCCATCACTGGGATTCGCACCTACATTTGAAGACGAATGCTCTATCCCTGAGTCACGGTGACTCGAGATAATAATGGACAGAAATTTGGAAATACTTCTATAGTTGCTGTTTCTAATACCACTTACCAACCAGCTAGCCTGCTTGGTAAAAACCAAACGAATTTAAGGCGGTTTCTTGTTTTTCAGTGGTGTCATCTGTGACCAAGAATACAACTTCAGCTACACACACGCCACAACCCGTTAATAGGGCGGACCCATTGATTCATCCACAGATCGTAATTTTGACCTGAACCAGAGAACGATCAATCTTCAATTCAGTATCCCCAGAGGTATGATATGTTGTGGGAAGATGAAGGGCTTTGTGACCAGACAGATTTAACGTGCACCAGTCACACGCGGGGCCTTTGGCTGGCGGGAATTGTATACCATGTAAAATCTTCCTAAGCATTTGCTGCTGAAACATTTGAGACAATGCCCGTCATCACACTTCAAGACAAACCACAAAATGGCTGAATGATAAAGGAATAAATATTTTAAAATTGCTGAAGATTGCTTCATCTTCTGACCTCAATCCCATAGAGAAATAATGTGGAATGATGTAAAATAAACATGAAAAATCAGGAAAAAAAGACAGTTAAAGAATTAAAAGAACATTTGGTAAGAAAATATGGGACGAAACAATTTTCGACATTCTCAAGTCTCTCGTAGAATCTGCACCATGGCGGCTTCAATTGCTTATTATTAATGCTAAAAAGGAAAGATTTGACAACTGATTTATCTGTATGATGTTGTATAAAAACAAGACATCTTGAAATGCATTTTAATTTCTGATTTTTATTTGGATTTACTTAAATAAAGTATTATTTGAAAGTCTCATTTTTTTTTCTTTCTCTGTACTGTTTATATTTTAAAGGATTTTCGTCCAAAATGTAGTTAAAAACATTAAAAGTCACAAGTTAATATTTAATAGAGGATGAAATGAAATCACTTCCGAAATCTGTCGAATCACTAGCGAAGAAGATGTAATTAAAAGTATCAAAACCAGTTTAAATACCTGATGAAACTTGAAGTTGTTCTTAATAATCTCTTTTTAATTTTGTTGCAATCAAAAAGAAGTTTTAATGTTTTTAAGTTCCGCCTCCCTTACTAATGATTCACTGGATTTTGTCAAGGATTTTGTCTTTTTCCTCCCTCAGATATTTGCGACTCCTATGTGTGGAATTCATTCATTTTTTGACAAGTACTCTAAAAATATTTATTATGGGTGATGGTTATTACGCTGCATAGAGCAAACCTGGTATCACATGTGGTGATACCTTTAACTGATGTCGGGGGGGGGGATGTGCTATTTTTCAAGGAAAATTTAGGATTGTGGGAGTTGAATGATAAGAGTTAAAGCTTAGCGTACTACATATGATCTCGTTTGAAAATCTCAATTGGCAAAAAGCCCAGATATTGATTTTCGTTTCCTCCCCTCCCCTTTTTGTTTTCTTTTTTAGATATTACGACTGAAGGTTACGTAGTTACTATATAATTTGTACGCTGTGTCCAATGAAATTACCCACAAATTAGCCTTTACATGTTGAAAAGTATTATTTATGAGCATTTTGCTTAGACTGACCTAATCTGAATTTATCAGGACCCAAATTTGTGTGTTATTACAAAAGGATTTAAATTATATAGGAAAGATTATTCTAATGGCTTCGGACTTCTAAGAGTATCATAAAGTAACTTAACAAGGTCAGAAAATTCTGTCCTTGTAAGTTGATCTGATTTTGCTACTCGCTTTATAGTCCCTTTTAAATGTTTTTTATTTTATTTTATTTTCTGTTTTTACATGTTANCATATACGTGAGTGTGTGTGTGTGTATATATATATATAGAGAGAGAGAGAGAGAATAAAATTTCCAAATATTAGAAACATTCTGTTCAAAGTAATAAGATTTTGAAATAATTTATAGAAAATTCATGGAATTGTAAATCGTATTTTGGAAAAAAAATTGCCTTTGTTTTACTAATGTTAAAACTAAATGAAAAGCATTAATCAATTCTTTAATATTATTTAAATTGATTTTCTTCAATCTTTCGCGGTTGAATGATTTGATATTTCTAAAAGATTTCTTAATTATGTGATGAATACCAAATTAAAAAAAAAAAGTTAAACATTCCTTTAATTTAGCTTAAAAAACATGTAAAATTTTTACTTTTAATGTGTAAAATTTGTTTCCATATGAATCCATAATGAGTAAATTAATTAACTTGTACACTAAATTTATTTCCGTTACCTTAATGCAAATCTTAAATTTCGTTTAATTAGTAAATTTTCACGTTTCTTTCTTTTTTTTTCTTCTCTTTTGTGTTTTATAGATTTTGACTACATTTTTTTAAAATTCATTTTATTTCATTTGTTTTTGTTATTATTGTAGCATTAAAAAAAACATATTATCTGCTCAACTTTTTAATTTATGTAAATTTTTTATTTAAGTAAAAATATAAGTAAAACATTGTTATTTGTAATGACACTTTATTTGTTTAAATATTGATTTAACCACCGAAGCATAAATTGTATTCTTAAATGATGGTAAAATTAATCACGTTAAAAATAATTTATTAGCTTTAAAATTTGCCTTTTTACGTACATAACATTTCATCGTATATTTTCTGTATTACAATAATAAGTTTTTTTGGGTTTTAAGGTTAAAAATATCGTTTTCTTTTAGAAGGAGACTGCAAAATAGAACTAACATTGGAAGGGAGAGAGAGTGGCTTCTTTCTTAGAAATCTCCAGGCCGAAGCTTTAAACAACCCTGAAGACGAGGAAGAAGTTCGCCGATTTACTCTTCTTCAATCCAACTTGCCTACAACATTACGAGCACAGTATGGACCATTTGTCTCGAAGCAGGTTGTCCATCCGGCATCGCTCCATCCAAAAAACAATGATTCTGGTGATGCCAGAATCGAATCCATGCTGGAATATTCCGGTGACATAACAGCTCGTCTAGTAACTCGTGAGGTTAGGCGTGATAGACCCGTCCTCCGAGTGCTCTTCCACAGTGCAACAGCTTCAGATCCAAAGCGAAGATCAGGTGGATCGGATAGTGCGAATGAAAATAGAAAACTGTCATCAAATGATGGTATTTGTGTTGTCTTGTATGTCCACAATCGCGAACAGCATCTAATGGCCGCTTGCAGTCCGGCTGACAGCCGAGATGGCGTTTGCCTGGCTCAAGCCACATTGCCAGTTTCGTGGTGGCCTCCCCTCGAGTCACCTGCCTGGAAGAGTCCAAAGACCCAAAGGACTTGGGTTCGAGTTGAGTATGCTGTTCTTCGAAGTGGCTCATTTGAGTGCTCTGATGCTGCTGCCTTACCCGTGTCAGTACCCGCTGGATTACCTAGTGTATATTTAGATGATGTTCCTCTTTCCAGCAGTCATGGGAGCTATGAGGAGGTGAAAAGTGATGATGTTGTTCGAATTCTAGTCCCTCAAGGACCTGTTTATCCTAAATCAAAGGTTTATGTCCCTGTTTATCTTCAACCAAATCCAATTTATCCTCCGTATGTCTTCGTAATAAGGTGAGTAATTTTTATTGACATTGGTTTTCAAGAATCAATGATTAAATACAAATGCTATTTAAATATTTTCAAATCATAATATTCTTTTTAGTTTGGACAAAAGGAGTCATGTTCTTTGTCATATGGCGTTCAGATAAATATTTTAAACTTTTGGATCAAAATTAGGCCTTATCTTGGTCACCTTATACTGATCTAACCTCCGTTTGTCCAAACAATATTAATGGACTAATTATACTGACGCTATTATATCGTTTTAAAAATCTTCACACGGCCAAAATTGTGTTTACCGATATTGAATTACTCTAAAATTTCAAGATAATAGTGGAATGGCGTGTTGAAAGCCTTGTGAAAGCATTAAATTTTTGCAAATAAAGAACATATCTTAGAATATTATCGTATTTGCATTTAAAAATCGCTGTTTTCTAAACCATTTTCTTTCAAAATGACAGTTTTTCATTAAAAAAAATTTTTCCCATAAAAACAAAAAGTAACTTTTGGTATAACATGGCAAAAAAGAAGAAAAAAAACGATATTTCAACCAAATTGGTCAAATGGTTTCTGAGAAATTTAAAAAAAGGCGTATTTTCATTGTATCAAGTAACAAAGAACTATCTGCTAAACAAAATAAACCACTTTATTAGTAACCAGAAAGGAGTATAATACAGTAAAAGAATAATCCCTGTTCTATGTAATGATTATTTAACTTGATATCCTATTTTAAAAAGTAATGGATTAACTGTACGTTAGGTATTTAACCCAATTCAATCCAATTTATTTAAATTCTAGACGAAGAGGAGACAGTCAAATTAAAAATTGGTGGTAAGTGTTTAATTAAAGATCATTGATTTTTATTTTTTTTATTTTAATTACCAAATCAAATTTAATGCCTACCTAAATATGATGTTATAGCTATCAAAGCATTATCTCTTTCTGAAATTGTCTAATATCAACTTACTTTTGCCACCACTTTTTATTTATTGGAAATAAACGCATGACGAGTGTCGCTGTTCAAATGATGCCGTCGGGGTAATGTAGAACAGCACAGCGGTTTTCAAATGATGTCCCAAAAGAGTAGAAAAGTCACACGGGAGGTTAAGATGTTTTTTTAACCGGTTATGATTTTCGAAACAAGTAATTAAATTGATATCCAATTAATTTTCCATTATTTATTTAATAGTTCCTCTATTATTATGAATTTGTTTAATAAAAATGTTTGTGATGAAAGAAAATTGCTAACAATGTCTTTTCGTGCAGCATATATAGTCCCTTAAAGACACAGTTCCCAGTAGAGCATTGAAGTCAAACATTGCTGACTGCGGTTTGTAAGTTAGTGGGTGACCCCTTAGATCAGCCTGCGTAGAGACCAAGGGTGCTCGGTATCGGTCTTATTTAAACTGTTCTCGACTTCAAGCGCAGGTCGTCGAGCTACCAAAACGAAAGAGCCATCCCAGGCAGGGCTAAAAAGAATAGAAGGGCTAGTTCACTCCGCTCTTAGAGCTGAAGCTACGATTTCCCTCCTCATGACGTCACTGTGTCCANTGAGTGGCCAAATTATTATGACCACCCCTTCAGTACGCTGTTGGGCCACCTTTTGCGCGTATTACTGCCTTAATTCGTCTGGGCATGGATTCTATGAGATGTTGGTAGGTGGTAGAAGGTATGCCAGACCATGCTCGCTGAACTGCTCTTGCCAATTCCTGCAAATTCGATGGTACTGGATCCATCTGTCTGAACGCCCGTTCAATATCAGCCCACAAATTCTCAATTGGATTGAAAATTTGGGTATTGTGCTGGCCAACGAAGCAAGTTAAATTCTCCGTCATGCTCTTCGAACCATCTAAGGACAATGCCAGCTTTATGACAAGGAACGTTGTCCTGCTGGAAGTATCCATCCCCGCCAGAGTACAATATTGGATGCACTTGATCTGTGATGATACTTAAATACCTTTGGGCATTAAGGCGTTGTGGTACAGGAATTAAAGGACCCATACAATACCAAGAGAACACTCCCCATACCATAACGTTGCCACCACCCGCTTGAAGTGTCGTGGCAATGCACTTGGAGTCCATGCTTTCGTGCTGTTTTCCCCATATTCTCATCCTGCCATCTGCGCGATGCATTTGAAATCGTGATTTGTCGGACCACATAACCCTCTTCCAGTCATCTACTGTCCTTTGTTTGTGTTCCTTTGCAAATTGGAGACGTTTGCGCTTATTTAAAGCAGACAGTAGAGGCTTATGAACAGGTCGTCTGCTTCCATACCCTATACGGCACAATGTGCATCGAACAGTCCGTTCAGAGACGTTCACAGTTGCTCCTTGATTAAGATCACTTGCAATTTGTCACACTGTTGCTCTCCTGTTGCGCTGCACAACCCTGACCTACCTTCTTTCTGATCGAGCATTCAGTACCCTGTGACGACCACAATCCTGACGCTGAGACCCGGTATTTTGCTTGATTGTCCATTCTATGTACACATTAACAACTGCTGCTCTAGAACACTTCACAAGTGCAGCCGTTTTGCTGATACTCGTTCCGACAAATCTCGTAGCCACAATCATTTCACGTTGAAATTCAGTTAAATCACTTTTCTTTCCCATATCTGAGCAAGCAACACAGTATAACTGATGACTCACTTGTCCAGCATTCCCGTGTTATAGTTATCTTGCCCTCTAGTAGCAGCGCTGTGACGCAATAACTCATTTGCATAAAACTCTGAGGTGGTCATAATAATTTGGCCACTCAGTGTATATAGTCCCGTAAAGACACAGTTCCCAGTAGAACATTGAAGTCAAACATCACTGTCTGCGGTTTGTAAGTTAGTGGGTGACCACTTAGATCAGCCTGCGTAGAGACCGAGGGTGCGCGGTATCGGTCTTCGTTAAACTATTCTCGACTTCACGCGCAGGTCGTCGAGCTACCAAAACGAAAGAGCCATCCCAGGATCAAAGTTGTGATGGCATATCTTCGGATCATCACCAGGGATGTTTTCCAGACCATCGCTAATAGCCCATTGTGCTCCTCTAGTGCGACGTAAATGAAGTACCCTACCAACCTCGAACAACAATATAATGAATTTATTATAAAAATTATATGCATTTATAAAAAATTGCATTAGTATTTCGCATCCAATAAAAAAAAAAATCAAATTCAACAGTGTGGGAAGTATGTTCTTCTCCTTATTGACGTTTGTGCCATTTTCAAAATAAGCATGGACATAGGCTTTAGATAGGCTAAACTTGACCTAACAGTCATGAGTAACAGTTGCAAACTCACAGCAATTATGAAAATAGCATATTATTCTTTAAAAAGCATCATTTCATCTTACGACGGAGTTTTTTCAAAAAACTGCCCTAAATCATTCAAGTGAGGTGAGGCAGAAAATAATTTTAAATCAAATTTATTAAACATTTAATCACACATTAAAACATAAAATGTGCTACCAATTGAAGAAAAAAGCGTAGAAAGTTGTACAGCCCTGAAAATTTTATAGCATTCTTCAAAATCCAACATTAAACGACGACACGTTTTCTACTTTGAGAAACTATTTTCACTCTCAGCACTCTTATCTTTCAAGTGTCGGAAACTAAGTGCCTGAATGATGTTTAAAGAATGCGCCTGGGAAGATCAACATGCTTTTATGGTTCTTTCACACGTTGTTTTGGAGTAAACATGCGAGAAGATGACCACCATTATGATTAAATGCACCCATAAAAACATATTACTAGTGGACACGTATCTTAGAAATAGTGTTTTCTTTTCTACATTTTTTTTTAATTGAATATTTTTTGTTAAATTTTCTTAATTTTATGTTTAAGATTTTCTATTTAAATTTTGGGAATTCGAATACTTTTTGATTTTTAAAACTAAATTTAAATCATTCCATATCTTTACAGAACATTTTTAAGTGGAAGATTTTAAGGGCCAAGTAATGTACCTTTTGCCCAATGTACTTCTTAAAAAAATAAAAATAATGAAAATAAAATAAATATTGAAATATTAAGAAGTGGTCTTAAAGGGACTATTGTACTATGTGCAAATTTAAAAAAGGAAAAGAAAAAAATAACACTCATAACTTTTTGTCTAATGATCCGATTTGCTCGTACTAACATGCAATCTTAATAGTTCGACTTTAAATTTGCCAATTAATTAGTGCGAAGGATTATTTATTGTACAAAATCAGGCACAAAATCGTACTTTTTCTAAATACTTGTCCCACAAAATATACGCGGTTAACCGAATATTAGACAAGAGAGTGTTTAAATTTTTATGTTTATTTTTCTCTTTCTGCGTAATTCTCCATAACTCTTGAACTATAGTAGAATCAAAACTTCTTTTGCTCACAATGATAAAGCTCGTATACTTAATAACTCGTAAACTCCATGAAAAATAAGGTAATAATTTTTGTTACAACTATTATTATTCTTTAAATTTAATAGTGATAAAAAAAATTGTGGATTATAAGACCTGAAAATTCTTACCTCATTTTAAACAATGTAATTTTAAATAATAAATTCAAACTTCGTTCAAAATCGGTGAAATAATTCTTGATAATTAAAATTCTAAACACACGATTTAAAATTCTAAACACACGATCTAAACAAACTTTCTCTGAACTTATTTGGCCCATTTTTTCCATATTTTAAATTTCGCCATTTTAAATTAAATAGCTTAAAATTAATTAAAAATTTACATAAGTTGCGAGTCGAAAAATTTTCAGCCTTTTTAAAATAAATAATAAAAAAAATATTAACATTTTTTTGCATAAAATTATCATTAGGTAAACGAAATTTATTATGAACATTTTTTTGAATTTCTTAAATAATTCCAGAAATGTAATGGAACACACAAATCGGACTTTCTGTTGTTCCAAATTTTAAAAAAACATTTTGTAGAAATCAATGCTGGATATTTTTATCTTTCTTCATATTTACTCTTTAAATGTTACTGCTTTTTCGATAATGCGTTTCCTTCATATCATTGGCTGAATTGAATTTAAGTCGCTGAACCCCAGTAGGGGTTATTTTTGTATGTTTGACTGCGAAGATTTAAAAAAAAAAAGTACCGCTTTTTTTTCTTCGAATAATTTTAGATGATATAATGTTTCCACTTGTAATAGCATTTCTTTCTCATTTTTTTTCATTCTATATCATTTTAGAGTTTTCACGCCGCGTTAATCGCCAACTAGAAGAACTTAATGGGACCCATGCCGGCGCGGTGTCAATTTTTGTATCCTGTCGTTAAGACAGAGGGAAAAAAAGATCAAAAAACAGTTCCAACAGTGGCCGTTCAATTTCAGATATAAAAACTTGCATAACGATAGTTCAGTCATCAGCGATGGCAACAACAGAGGGAAAAAAAAGTCGTCTGCAGATGTGGGATTCTAGATTCGATTTCGTTTTTAAACTAAAAGCATAGTGATTTCTTTGTATTTTACATCAAAATTGTTGTCTAGATTTTTTTTTCTTTCTAACTTTTGAGAAACAGGAATAAGAGCTGAGCAGGTGTGCCCTAAACCAAAAACGATGAATGTTGTGTATCGAATATCTACGCCTATCATGCATAAACATTAGACTGGGTTGATTATTCACCTGTTTTGAATAAAGATGCTAACTATAAAAGTAACATGTATTCCCAGTTTTATTTATTTTTTTATGACTTCGGAGGTCAACCTCTGAATAAAATTCTAATTATTCATTTGCGGGTTTTTATTATTTATTCATTTATTTTAAATGTCTGATTTTCTGATTTCAGTTCAAAAATACATTCAAATTCTCTTTTTTCCTCCCTCTTCTACTGGAATTTTACTGTAAAGAAAAAAGCTGAGTTGAATATAGTTTTTTTTTTAAACACCACGATAACAATATTTTAAAAATTATTTTTACAATGTGTCATGACTTGCCATTTCTTACAATAAGCATGCACAACGAAACATTCTAATACGGTAATATCGTGATCAATATTGATGCAGAATCCATAAATGTTGTGAAAACCTCTGAATAAAATTCTAATTATTCATTTGCAGGATTTCATTATTTATTCATTTATTTTAAGCATTTGATTTCCTGCTTCCAGTTCAAAAACACATTCGAATTCCTTTTTTTTTTCTTTCCTGAATTTGACTGTAAAGAAACAAATTGAGCGGTATATAGTTAAATATATATTTAAAAAAAAACGATAACAATATTTCAAAAATTATTCTTACAATGTCTCTTAACTGCCATCTCTTACAATGAGCATGTAAACGAAAATTTTTTAATACTTTAATATCGTGATCATCATTGATAACGATTAATGTAGAATCCGAAAATATTGTGAAATTTGTGAATAAATATCGGATAAGATAACATTGCGATAATTATCGAATATCATATTATCGTGAGTGTTGATCAATTTTATTTGGGTGATGATTGTATTGATCATAGTAAAAGTGTAGTAAATTAGCTACTTAAATTGGAAAAATATCGCGATATACTCTGAAATATCCATTTTTCTTACGATGTCAAGCGATATTAAAATTTGATATAGCCCAGGTTTTGACGTGATGAGCTCTCTGGCTAAATGGTCCAAAAAAGTATCAGATTTTTTTAGGAAAGATTTTACATCAACCTACTTAATAACTAAACAAAATAAACTTAACACAATGATTTCGTTCTGTTATACACAAAACTGTATATATTTCCTTTTAATGAGCTTCTTCCAGAGATAACCTTTTACCTTTAATTTACCTTTTGAAAGCACATAAAAGCTTATTTAATGCATTTATCTATACAAAAATTTATTAACTTTCGATATTTCATGTTGCATTCGAGAAATTTTGACAGATTTTTGGCATAATTTCAGCCCAAAATATTACTATTTTAGTTGTTATGAATCCTTCTTATACCACATATTTTCTGAAATAAGTTTCAGGCAATTCCAAAAGATAAAAGAACTAATAATAGAACATTTCCTCCCCACTTTTTTAGGAGAGGGGTGTTAGACGCAAGGTTTGTACAATTCTTAAAAAATAATAATTGTAAATAAATAAAAAAATAGCAATGGAATGACTTTACTTTAAGCTTCTAAACTATATTAATGCGAATCGAGAAATGTAACTTGATCATTTTCAAAATGTTTTAAACGGTGTTAACGATATAGCATAGACAAGTGCAATGGAACATTTTTTAAAAGCTTTAAAGCGGAAATAACTTTGTTGCAGCAATACTATATGTAGGAATCTAGAAATGTAACATGAACATTTTCTAAAAACCTTAAAGCGAAATTCCTTGTAGCAGCAACACACATTTAGGAATCTAGATATGTAACATTAAGATTTTTTAAAGGCTTTAAAGCGAAGATTCTTGTGCGGCAGCAACATTATATATATATAGGAATCTAGAAATGCAATATAAATATTTTCTAAGAGATTCCTTTTTAGCAGTAACACTATATATAGGAATCTATAAATGCAATATGAATATTTTCTAAAAGCTATATAGCAAAAATTTCTTTGTAGCAGCGAAACTATATATAGGAATCTAGAAATGTAATATGAGCATTTTCTAAAAACCTTGAAGCGGAAATTCCTTTGTAGCAGCAGCACTATATATAGGAATCTAAAAATGCTGCATGAACATTTTCTAAAAGCTTTAAAACGGCGATTCCTATGTAGCAGCTATACCATGTATACGAACCCAAAATACAACTTCAACACTTTTAAATTCTCATAAGGAGAAAATATTACGTAGCAGTAATATGTATACACTTTTGTTAATTTTTTCAAGTCGCTGAAGTGTATTGCGCTATTTGAAACTATTTTGCAGAATATTTAGAATAATTTATTCAAAAAGTATCATGGATTCATTTTTTCTTCTAATATTTCAGAGCCAAAGTTAAAAATGGACTTCGAATCCTCGGTGCTCAAGTCTCGCCTCCTTCTCAATGGAGCATAACAGTGGAACTGAACCCAAGACAAACAATTGCTACCGTCACAGCCTTTGTCAAGGACACTACCACCAAAGCACCGCAGGAAGAGTCAGCAGACTTAGGGTAAGACCATAATTCCTTCTATCCGTATATTTATTATCCGACTTCACTCACTGAGTAAACTGAGTAGCTCTGCTTCTATAAGATAAATTTCTCTTAAAAAAATGGTAAAACTTATTGAAGCGATGCCACTTAGCAGAAGATAAAAGTTTAAAATAACAGCGTCTGAGATGGATGTTTATTTGATGAGGTTGTTGTAAGTTTTGATAGTGATGGATTATTTTGGCAACGTTTGCTTCACGCTAAATGTTGTATTGACGAAACGGGGTAAATTGTCTGCATAAATTTTCGATTCATTCTGGAGAAAAAAAATCACAAAAGCTAAAGTAATTAAAATACACGTAAAATATTACTAAGCAGATATAAAATTGAATACTCATAATGCTATGAGATTTCGTTTGACTACTACTCTGTCATAAATTTCGCCATACGTACCAAGGTACATATACGTGAACCTGCATGTTTTTGACAGTATTATTTTTAAGTATTAAGTAAATATGAATTTAAAAGCTTCATACAGATCACATAATTACCAAGTCAAAAGAAAAAAAGATTATTGTCACAATAACTAAATTATATAATATTTAAAATTAATTACATTTTCGAGCAAGTAGATTTAACGTCATTTTCCGAAGAATACTTTTTAGTTTACGTGGAATTCTACCCAAATAACTTACGTGTTCTGCATCTACTGCGGAATCTCCAGAGAGCTTAAATTTCCACGAATGTTGCAGTAAAGGTAAAAAAATAAATTTTCTTATCGCGTGTTTTTAGAAACTAAGAAACGAAGGTTTACATATGTTGACAGAGGTAAGGAAGAAGGTGAACATGAACTTTTTTGTCAAAATTTAATTATTATTATTATTATTTTAATATTTTCTGGGAAAGGTCGGTCGAACAGCCTACCCTCCCCCCTCCTGGCTTCGGGCCTGCCTTTAACGTAAATGCGTAACAGTTCCATTAAAAACTCTTTAGCTAAGGCGAATTTATGTCAATGCTTGATCCTAGAAAATCCTGGAGACAGGCAAAAAGAAGGCTACAGATTTGAAAATTGATTACTGCAACTCTGATTTGAATCAACTTTTCAACGATGGCTCAGGGGATAGAGCGTTCGTCTTCCAATGAGGTGAACCGGGGTTCGATCCCGGCGATGGCTGGTCGATACGAATTCTGCCACCAACCACAGTCCTGACGTGAAATATCCTCAGTGGTAGACGGATCATGGGTTAGAGTCCCCTTGCCGTCAGGCTAACCGTGGGAGGTTCTCGTGGTCTTCCTCTCCATGTAACGCAAATGCGGGTTAGTTCCATCAAAAAGTCCTCCACGAAGGCACATTTCTCCCAATAGTTGATCCAGGAGCTCCCTTGTCTTCTGGATTGGGTTCAAAATTACAAGGCTACGGAGCTAAACATTTGTAGTTGTAAACCCAAAAATTGGGTCGGCTGTTCAACGACGGTTATAAAATAAAAAAAAGAAGAAAATCGTAATTAAAACAGAAAACTATTTTAACTTATTTAACTTTAATTGAGAGTAGTTTAGAAAACTTTTAACAGCCAAAACAAGGAAATGCATGTCTTTAAATCAAAATTTTTGAAAAAACATGGGTGGTAAGACATGTGTGTAAAATACAAATCTAACTCAAAAGAAGCCGCTCCAAAACAATATGAGGTCAATCGCTGTTATCTCACAACCTTTCAACATGTAAGAATGCTACAGTTTTAGGTGTTAATATTCCATTTCTGATAAAGTGATCCTATCAGCTGTTGACGGACAGCCCTGAAACGTTCCGAAGTTACTAGTAAAGATATTTTAACAGCTTATTTGCACAAAAAAGAAAAGAAAAAACATTTGGTTTTTGATGTTTCCCACTTACTGAAAAGCTTATTGTGAGACAGTGTTAATTGCTAAATCTCAAAACGAAATGATAAAATGATATTTTAAAAACAAAAATAAATTTCTAATAGCATTTACTAAATTTGCTAACACCTCTAAAATTTTTATTGGAAAATTTTCAAACCATGAGTAAAAATATAGATGCTTCCAAAATTTCATATCTATCTAAAATATTATCAATTTATGTGTATATAATTTTTCTGAGGCATACCAGCTTGTGTGCTTATAGCGTGGCTTACATGTTTTTGTCAAGATGAAAAGCAGAAAACACAAATTAGGAAAGGACATAATATTGCATCCATGGCTGTGGCGGGATTTGAGCCCGCTACCGTTCGGTGGATCAGTGAGATCGCTCGACCAGAAAGGACCAGAATATTAAAAAATTAAAGTTAATGAGTCGCGATGGCTCAGGGGATAGAGCACTCGTCTCTCAATGACCCAGGTTCGAATGCCTGAGATGGCTGGTTGATACTAAATCTGCTTCCGGCTCGCTACGACCACAATGCGGGCATAAAATATCCTCAGTGGTAGACGGATCCTGGGTTAGAATCCTCTTGCCGTCGGGCTGATTGGTTTTCGTGGTTTTCCTCTCCATGTGCGAATGGGGAGGAAGTTTCATCAAAAAGTCCTCCGCGACGGCCAGTTTATCCCAATGCTTGGTCTTTTAATAGTCGTAAGCTCAAAGTTGGATTGCCTGTTCCACGACGGTTATAAATATTAAAAGATATAGCAGCCGTGGAGCCTCAGGGGTTCGCCTCCCAATGAGATGACTCAGGTTTGAATTGCAACGGTGGGTGGTAGATACGAATTCTTCTTCCGGCTCGCACTCACCACAGTTCTGACATAAAATATCATCAGTGGTAGATAGATGTTGGGTTAGATTCCCCTTGCCGTCGGGTTAACCGTGGGAGGTTTTTGTTTTTTTTCCTCTCCAAGTGACACAATTGCGGGTTAGTTCCAACAGAAAGTCCTCCTCAAAGGCTAGTTTGTTTCAATACTTGGTCCAGAAGTTTAAGACAACCTAACCAAATTAATAACTACTATATTGTTGCCAGTAGATAGAGAAATAACCGATTTTATGCCACATAAGAGAAACACATTTATAGATTAATAATAAATGCGCTATTTCTTCTAAAAAATAAATAGAAAATGAATAGTTAAAATGAAATAACTTCGATACTATTAAAAAAATTTCAACTCTGAAGGGAAAAAAACTAGAATTTTCTCCTTCCGATGGAAATGTAAAAAAATGTTATGGCTCTTCTTATTTTATCTTCTGGCTTATACAAAGTATATCGACATATGACGTCTATTTCGATTAGCTTTCTGCATTCTATATTTTGATAAACTAATTTATTTCGCGCCTTTGCATTTGACACAAGATTTATATGCCCTGCTCTTGTCGTTTGCCAAGTTCCTAATTATTATGCTCGTCAATAAGTGCTGCTGCTGATTAATTATTCGCATGTTATATTCGGACGCCACTCATGTAGTTCTTTGAGGTATTCTCGAAAATGGCGCATACACGATCAACTATCTGTTTTAGTACAATGCAGTTAAATTCCTGTTACCATAAATGTTGTTTCGTGTAAACATATGATTAGATGTGAAAATACTAGGGTGTATTTGGGGCTAATGAGGCGAGTTGAAAAAACTGCAAATTTTTGTTGTTACTAGGGGCGTTAACCCCTGCTCGCTGCCACTTACTAACCTTGATGATTGCTTCGCGATAATTATTATTTGTTGGCATAAAACAGTTTTTTCTACGAAAGTTGAAATTATTCTATTAAAATATATGTACTAAAAAGAATTCTGTTCGCGATGTATAAATGAGTCCGCCCTATAAACAGGTGTGACGTATGGGTGTGGCAGAAGTCGAATTTCAGACCATAGATGGCGCCACTGGAAAACAAGAACAATCGCTCTCCCTCCTCCTTAATGGCCGACGACGACAACAAATATTTCGCTTATGATTCCATTAAGATTTATTACTAAACTTAAGTAGTACTTCGAAGCAATTATTTTTTTAAAAAAAATAACGTTTCAAATTATAAGTGTATTGTTATAACAAATTTAGTCAGTTCACAACCACAATTAATATTTTTTCTTAATAAGTGGACGGGTATATTAAAGACTATTCTGGCATGCAATATCACATTGTGCATGAAGTTGATCGCTAAGTTCTAAATCATTTAACGAATATCTTTAGCTGTAAATTATAATAGTATATTAATGCAATCTCCTCAAAACTAATAATTGTAAAATGGTTAATAAAATCGGACAATAATTTAAATAACTTTATCTTAAAATGTAGAGTAAAATTACGCTATTCTACGCTAATTACGCTAAAAAAAACTATTCCTTAAAAAACTATTTTAAACTCCTAATTTAGAAAACAATCAAAATCAAAAAACGTACTAATAGCAATACAGATAAATACCTCTACATTCTTATTCTTCTTGAGCACTACAGCCGATTGCAGGTCAAGGCTATCTCAGTCAGTTTACTCCATCTGGATCTATTCGATGGTCTATTTCTCCATCTATTAAATCCCAAGTCACCTTTACATTAGGGTACAAAAATATTTATAGAAAAGCAATACCTTTATGTCTATTGTTAATTTTATACCGATGACAACCAAATATGGAAATCAATGTGTGAAAACCATATGATTTTCCGACCAATAAAAATGCACCGACTTTAATGAAAAACTATGTTAGACCATTACGTTTTATGTCTTATAGAGATACAATTGGATTGCAGATTTATTTTGCAAGAAATACTCCATATTATTTCTATTTATTTCAGACATGAGAAAAATAGGAAAGAAAACATTTTTAATAAAATACTAGACTTTCGCTACTTACCGCACTTAATGTGTTTTTTTTAAAATCCTTGTACAAAAAGGATGCACAGATCTCAAATCAATATTTAAACTAGTGTGAAACAAAAATGCTACAAATATCTAATGAATCACTACTAAGGATTTATTTCAAACATGAACAAAATAGGAAAGTTAACATTTTAAATAAAATACTTGGTTTGATTGAACTGAACCCTAGTACGTGAAAATCCGACCTTCTGGTTCTACATTTAACCATTTATGTATA